AAACCCTAAACCCATAACCCTAAACCCGAAACCCTAAACCCTAAACCCTAAACCCTAAACCCTAAACCCTAAACCCTAAACCCTAAACCCTAAACCCTAAACCCTAAACCCTAAACCCTAAACCCTAAACCCTAAACCCTAAACCCAGCCTGTGCGTCGCCAAGGAGGAGTACCAGAAGGCCCATGGCCTCTACGCCGCCACGGTGGGGCGCTCCAGCCCCCTTTTCTGCGGCGCGGCCGAAGGACTCGCCAAGGCTCTGCTCAAGGAGCCGGTGGTGTGGGGTTTAGGGTTTAGGGTTTAGGGTTTAGGGTTTAGGGTTTAGGGTTTAGGGTTTCGGGTTTGGGGTTTAGGGTTTAGGGTTTAGGGTTTAGGGCTTAGGGTTTAGGGATTAGGGTTTAGGGTTGAGGGTTTAGATTTAGGATGTAGTGGCTTAGGGTTTTACATAGGGCTTTAGGGTTTAGCGTTTTAAGGTTTTAGGGCTTTAGGGTTTTAGGGTTTCAGGGTTTCAGGGTTTTAAGGTTTTAGGGTTTTAGGGTTCTAGGGTTTTCGAGTTTTTCGGGTTTTAGGGTTTCAGAATTTTAGGGTTTTAGTTTTTTTTTTTTTTTTTTTTTCAAAATTTTGGGGTTTCAGGTTTTAGGGTTTCAGGGTTTAGGGTGTTAGGGTTTCAGGGTTTAGGGTGTTAGGGTTTTGGGGGTTTAGGGGTTTAGGGTTTTAGGGTTTTAGGCTTTTTGGGCATTGCGACTTGTAACTGGTATTTGAGTTGTTTTGAGTTTGCTGTGCAGAGCTTTAACTACGTAACATGCGTGTATGTGTGTGTATATATGTGTGTGTGTGTGTGTATGTGTGTGTGTGTGTGTGTGTGTGTGTGTGTGTGTGTGTGTGTGTGTGTGTGTGTGTGTGTGTGTGTGTGTGTGTGTATGTGTGTGTGTGTGTGTTTTCGGCTGGTGGTTCGGATTCCGGAGTTAGGGTTTAGGCTGTTTCGTTGTTTCCTTCTTATCGCCCGAATGTCTTTTTTTGGATAAGGTTCCCTTCTGAGACCATGGAATGATATTCCTGAGACCCTAGACCCTCAACCCTAGACCCTGAACCCTCAACCCTGAACCCTCAACCCTGAACCCTGAACCCTCAAGCCTCCCCTAAACCCGAAACCCGAAACCCGAAACCCGAAACCCTAAACCCTAAACCCTAAACCCTATAAACCCTATAAACCCTATAAACCCTATAAACCCTATAAACCCTATAAACCCTATAAACCCTATAAACCCTATAGACCCTATAAACCCTATAAACCCTATAAACCCTATAAACCCTATAAACCCTATAAACCCTATAAACCCTATAAACCCTATAAACCCTATAAACCCTATAAACCCTCAACCCTAAACCCTAAACCCTAAACCCTAAACCCGTAGGCAAAGAGAGCCCCTGAAGGAGAGGCAGCACGACCGAGCCTTCCAGGCGCCAGCTCCCACGAGTGCGGGTCAGAGTTTAGGGGGTCCTGCCGGTTTGTGGGCTCAGGAACCCCAAGCCCTAAACCCTAAACCCCAAGCCCTAAACCCTAAACCCTAAACCCTAAACCCTAAACCCTAAACCCTAAACCCTCCGCCAGGCCTTGCGGGAGGCCTTCGAGGTCCATGCGAGGTGCGACTCGGTGCATCCAACGCCGCTCTTTGAGTGCCTTGAGATGGCCATGGAGACCCGGCTTGGGGTTTAGGTTTAGGGTTTAGGGTTTAGGGTTTAGGGTTTAGGGTTTAGGGTTTAGGGTTTAGGGTTTAGGGTTTAGGGTTTAGGGTTAGGGTTCAGGGTTCAGGGTTCAGGTTTCAGGGTTCAGGGTGTAGGGCCGAGGGTTTAAGGCTGAGCGTTCAGGGTTTAGGGCGTTTGGGCGGTTTAGGGGGTTCACGGGCTTGGTGGTTTAGGGCGTTTAGGGGGTTTAGGGGGCTTAAAGGGAGGTACCAGCCTCATTCCTAAACCCTAAACCCTAAACCCTAAACCCTAAACCCTAAACCCTAAACCCTAAACCCTAAACCCTAAACCCTAAACCCTAAACCCTAAACCCTAAACCCTAAACCCTAAACCCTAAACCCTAAACCCTAAACCCTAAACCCTAAACCCTAAACCCTAAACCCTAAACCCTAAACCCTAAACCCAAGCCGAGGACATACATGACCAGTCTCCTGGGGTGGACCTGGCATCCTTGCGCTCGCCCATCGAAGACGCGATGCGGAATCTGGAGAGCAGAGGCCAGGACAAGGATGGGACCCTTGGGTTGCGCCAGCACAAGGTGATAGGGTTTAGGGCTTAGGGCTTAGGGCTTAGGGTTTAGGGTTTAGGGTTTAGGGTTCAGGGTTCAGGGTTTAGGGCTTGGGTTGCGCCAGCACAGGGCTGAGGGGTTGAAAGGCTTTTAGGGTTTGGGGCTTAGGGATTAGGGTTTAGGGTTTAGGGCTTCAGGTTTTCTAGAGCTTAGGGCAGGTTATGGTTTTCTCAGGGTGTAGATATGGGGTTGTAAGGGGTGGACGGCACGCAGGGCTTATAGGGCTTATTTGGCTCGAACCCAACGAGCCCCATACCCCTTAATTCAGTTCATGAGGATCCTTGATATGTGATTTAAGGTATATTCCTGAGTTAAGGGGTGCGTTGGGCTCTTCGGGAAAGTGCTTCATGGGGCTTGAGAGACGGCGCCGACATTCTATAGGAGATTTGGGGCCCGGTCCTGGAGCATCCTGATCCCAACCCTAAAGCCGAAAGCCCTTTGGGCCCTAAGCCCCAAGGAGTTTCTAAACCCTAAACCCTAAACCCTAAACCCTCAACCCTCAACCCTCAACCCTCAACCCTCAACCCTAAACCCCAAACCCCCAAGGAATGCCGGGCTGGTGATGAGCCGCGCGGGGAAGCTCCTCCTCCGCGCGGGGGGCGCCCGCGAGGAGGCCTACGCGCTGCAGCTCCTGCGCCGGGGGAGGCCGCTGATCCAAGAGGCCGCTGGAGCCATTTGAGTGCATGCTTTTGGTTTTATGTTTGTATATATATATGTATTTATATTTATATTTATATTGCATTTATATTTATTTTTACATTTACATGTATATTTATATTTATATTTATATTTATATGCATATATTTCATTTTTTATTTATTTAGTTATTTATAGACGCATTTGTATATGTATACTGATGTGTGTCTGTGTCTGTATATATACATATATATATATGCAAGCATAAGAGTATATTGGTTCATTTACTTATACGGATATATACATGTTCTCTTTGTAGAGTGTAGAAGAGCTCCTGAAGGAGAGTTGGGGGCGGGTGAAGGGTTAAGGGACCCCAAACCCTAAGCGGAAACATGCCCTTCTTCTTAGTAGGGAATGAGGGAAGTGCCTACATATACCCTCCAAGGGATCATATAGCGATTCCCTCATTCCCTACTAAGAACCAGCCAGACATCGCATCGCCCCGGAGGCACACGATGCCGAGGAGGCAAACCTCGCGCACGAACTGCTGGAGGCTACGAAGTCCTGTTGCCTTTTTTTCGTTGTAGACATCTTCCTACAACTTTGCCAAGACCCACAGGGGCTTGGGTTTAGGGTGTAGGGTTTAGGGTTTAGGGTTCAGGGTTCAGGGTTTTGGGGTTTAGGGTTTCATGCTTAGGGTTTAGGGTTTAGGGTTGGGGTTTAGGGTTTAGGGCCCCAAGCTCTTCTCAACAGATGCTTATCTTGCCGACGAGGTGGACCTCCTGGTGCAGAAGAGCACCTCAAGTGCAGCTGAGAAGCCTGAGCTTCAGGGTTCGGGGCTCGCTCTGTAGGGTCTCAGGGCGGTGTAGGGTTTAGGGTTTTTTAGGGTTTAGAGTTTAGGGTTTTTAGGGTTTAGGGCTTCAGGGTTTAGGGTTCAGGACTTAGGGTTAGTGCAGGGGGTTTAGGGTTTAGGGTTTAGGGTTGATGCTGTCTGGTTGGTTTCAGGTTTGAGGGTTTTTTGGTGCTTAGTTATCAGCCCGAAGCTCTAGGCTTTGAGCCCCATCCCTGAGAGCGCGCGCACAGTGACGGTGAGCAGCAAGCCAGAGCGGCAAAAGAGTCTGATGTTGTCACAGGTGTCCCAAACCCGCCCTCCAGTTGTTGGGGTTTTGGGTTTTTTTGGTGTGGGGATGAATTCCTACTGAAATTTTTTTCCCAAGCCCCAGTTGGGGGAGGGGTGGGGGGCGAAGGTTTGGGGAAGGGGTGCTTGTGGTTGTCTGGAATATGTCTTACATTACATCTAGGATCCACTGCAGGCCTTGTATGGCACGTTTTTTTTTTTTTTAGGGTTTAGGGCTTGGAGCACCAAAGTTGTCACGTCAGACTGTGACCCGGACCCTAAACCCGACACCTTCCTAAACCCGATACCTTAAACCCTAAACCCTGAAACCTGAACCCTGAACCCTCAACCGGGGGGATTTGGGTTGCCTTGGAGACACGCAGTTTTGGTTGAAGGCGGACTGGAGGGACGGCTCTGAATACCTTCTTTTGAGGGGTATAGCACTACTCCCGCATATGCCCTTTATAGTCCTTCCCCAAAGAGCCCAATACCCCTTAATTTGGGAATATACCTGAATGTATATAAGGATCCTTAGCATGATTCAAGGTGCATTCCTTAATTAAGGGGTCTTGGGCTCTTTGGGTAAGTGTAGCCCCAAACTCATCCTTATACAAAGCCCTCCCTGGATTTTCAGAAGCGGACAAACACCACCCAAAACTCTCGAAAGCAGCAGTTCAAAGCAGGATGAGATGGAGAGGAGAGAGGCGGAGAAGATGCCCCTCGGCGTGAGAAGACGTTTTAGGGTTTAGGGTTTAGGGTTTATAGGGTTATAGGGTTATAGGGTTTAGGGTTAGGGTTTAGGGTTTAGGGTTTAGGGTTTAGGGTTTAGGGTTTAGGGTTTAGGGTTTAGGGTTTAGGGTTTAGGGTTTAGGGTTTAGGGTTTAGGGTTTAGGGTTTGACTCGCCGCTCTTTGGGTTCTAGGTATGGAGGGTCTAAGTCCGCGAGGTTTCAAGTTGTCTTCCCTACGCAAGTACTTAGTAGTGACTGTGTGCATGCAAGTATCCCTAAACCCTAAACCCTAAACCTTAAACCCTTAAACCCTTAAACCCTTAAACCCTTAAACCCTTAAACCCTTAAACCCTGAAACCCTTAAACCCTTAAACCCTTAAACCCTTAATCCCTTAAACCCTTAAACCCTTAAACCCTTAAACCCTTAAACCCTTAAACCCTTAAACCCTTAAACCCTAAACCCTAAACCCTAACCCGAAACCCTAAACCCTAAACCCTAAACCGTAGTAGTTCTTATTGTGTTGGGCCCGAAGAGGCAACCCTCAAGCCTCAAGCCTCAGCCCTAAACCCTAAACCCTAAACCCCAAACCCTAAACCCTAAACACTCAACCCTAAACCCTCAATCCTAAACCCTAAACCCTAAACCCTAAACCCTAAACCCTAAACCCGAAAACCCTATGCGCTAAGCCCTGACCCTAAGCAGTGGATGCTCGGCTCGCAACTCAGCCAAGGAGAAACAAAGAGGAGATGACACGAAGCGCACTCCTCGGAGCATTTTTTCGCGTCTAAAGGGACCCTAAGCCCGAAAAACCCTAAACCCTAAACCCTAAACCCTAAACCCTAAATCCCCAAGCCCTGTAGCTTCATTGCGGGGGCCAGAGTGTAGAGCTTTAAGTCAGGGGAGCATCCTTTTCATGGATGCTCCCATGCCATTTGGGCTTGTTGGCACCTTAGCCCTCCAAACAAGGGGTTTAATTAGGGTTTAGGGTTTAGGGTTTAGGGTTTAGGGTTTAGGGTTTAGGGTTTCGGGTTTAGGGTTTAGGGTTTAGGCTTAGGGTTTAGCGCCCTGTTTGTAAGCCTTAGTAAGTCGGGTTATGGGCTTGTTACAGGGCTTCTAGGGGATGGTTAAGTAGACTTGCTATGTCAAAAGAGCTTCCAAGTACAATGGTCTGACGGTCGTAGGATCCACATTTTGGAGGGGCCATTTTTGCAACAGCCCTAAACCCTAAACCCTATTCCCTATTCCCTATACCCTAAACCCTAAACCCTAAACCCTAAACCCTAAACCCTAAACCCTAAACCCTAATCCCTAAACCCTAAACCCTAAACCCAACAGCACTGCTCAGATTGCTCGCAGCTGCTCACCAGAAGCCCCGAATCACCTACAGGATTCTTGGAGCCCAAGCCCTATTATAAGCCCTAATCCCTGAGGCCTATACCCTAAAGACTAAACCCTAAGCCCTAAACCCTAAACCCTAAACCCTAAACCCCAAACCCTAAACCCTAAACCCTAAACCCTAAACCCTAAACCCTAAACCCTAAACCCTAAACCCTAAACCCTAGCCCTAAACCCTAAACCGAACACCCTCAAGCCAAAGCCCGACACTCCGCCAAAATGGGCGAGCCCAAGTTTCCTCCCCCAGGCTGGAGGTCCATCCTGCGAGCCGGGAGCCGAATTTTTGGGGGGGCGGGTTTAGGGTTTAGGGTTTAGGGTTCAGGGTTCAGGGTTCAGGGTTTAGGGTTTAGGGTTTAGGGTTTAGGGTTTAGGGCAGGTCGGGTGTTGGTGGTGTTGGTTTGTGGGTGTGTTGGTGTCTTGGAGTGCTGGCGGGTCTCCGTAGCTCTCTGTGGCTCTCTACGTCTCTGTGTGTCTCCGTGTCTCTGTTGTCTGCGTCTCTGCCTTTGTGTGCCTCTCTGTGTCCGTTTCTCTCGGTCTCTGTGTCTTTTGTATTCTATTCGTGTCAGTCGGGTTAGGTTTGCTTCTCCAAGAGTTTTGGAGTTTGGGGTTCAGGGTTTAGGGTTCAGGGTTCGCGAGGGCAGTCTTGGTACCTGGATGCCTCCAGGGTTTGCGTGGGGCTCAGTGGGCTTAAACAAAAACCAAAAAACACCCCAAACAAAACCCCCAAAAATCCTAAAAGCCCTAAAAGCCCTAAGAACCCTAACTAAACGCCCTAAAAGCCCTTAAAGCCCTAGAATCCCTAAAAACCCAACGTAACAGAAAGCCCCCAACAAGCCCCGAAAGCCCCGAAAGCCCTAAACGTCCTAAAAGCCCTAAAAGCCTTAGGCTGTGAGCCGCGTGCGAACGGTCGGCGAGTTTTTGCAGGAGGGTGTGAGGAAGGCCTCCAAGCTCCGGCGGTCCCGACGTGCCCGGAGGGTAACCCTAAACCCTAAACCCTTAACCCTAAACCCTAAACCTTACACCCTACGATTTAGGGTTTCAGATTGAGGGTGTAGGGTTTATGAGTTCGGGTTTGGGATTTAGGGTGCAGGGTTTATGGTTACGTAGGTCCTTCAGATTCCTCTGCGTGATCTGAGTTCTATACGTACCTCAAAGACTCCATGCTAGACACCATGCTGCTTAAGTAGGGCTGGTTCTTTTTAGGGAATAGGGTTTAGGGTTTAGGGTTGAGGATCTTAAAGGGTAGATATAGGTGCTTCCCTCATTCGCTACTAAGAACCAGGAAGCAGTAGCCCTCTGGGCCGGGTGGGCCTTTCAGGTGTGGGGGCTTAGTGTTCAGGGCTTAGGGCTTGGAGCCTTGAGGAGAATTGGTTGATGGTTGCTTTAGGGTTTAGGGTTTATAATGTTTAGGTTGAACCCGAAGCTTGAAAGTCGAAAGCTTAAACCTTAAGAGTTATAAGGTTTAGGATCCCGGGGGCGCGTAACTTGAAAAAGGGAAGGCACACCACGTCACTACGTCGCAAATGCCTAGGGTCTTCACTGTCGTTTTCTGTGAGTGTAAATAAACGGTTCTTTATAGATGTCGGTGTGTGTACATCTGTGGATACCAATGAGAAAGGTCCTACCTTCACCAAAGGAGTACCCGTAACCCTGAACCCCAAACCCGAAGCTCTGAACCCCAAACCCTAAACCTCAAACCCCAAACCCTAAAGCCTAAACCCTAAATCCCAAACCCCAAACCCCAAGCGCTAAACCCCAAACCGTACCCTAAAAGTACCCTGAACCCTAAACTAAACTCCGAGCCCTAAACCCCAAACCCTAAAAGTGCCCTAAAAGTACCCCAAAACTGCCCTAAAAGTACCCTAAAAGTACCCTAAAACTACCCTAAAACTACCCTAAAACTACCCTAAAAGTACCCTAAAAGTACCCTAAAAGTGCCCCAAACGTAGGGATTGTTGCCTGGGCAGGTTGTGCCCGACCAGCAGGACATGGCTCTTTCGGGGCTTCGGCTGCCCTTCGGGGCTGGGCGGTTTCGGGTTTAGGGTTTCGGGTTTAGGGTTTAGGGTTTAGGGTTTCGGGTTTCGGGTTTAGGGTTTAGGGTTTAGGGTTTGGGGTTCAGGGTTTAGGGTTCAGGGCTTCTTAGGGTTCATCTGACAGGTTTTGGTTTCAGGGTTTGGGTGGGCTTAGGGTTGATAGGGTTGAGAGGGTTTGGGGAGGGGTTTAGGGTTCAGGGTTTGGGAGGAGGGGGGCGGGGGTTTCGGGTGCAGGGTTTGGAGGGCTATCAGGACTTAGCATTGTGGGTAAGCTCGAAGCCCGAAACCCGGCACCCTCTAGCTTTAGGGAGCTGCGATGGCCCTTGCCTCTTAAGGGTAGTTAAAAGGCCCCTTCATAAGGTTCGTTAAAGGGTTCACGTATATGAAGGGTATATAAGGGTTCCCCACATAAGAGGCCCATACTAAGGACCATCTAACCACCCTTAGATTATCAAGGACGAAAGGAGGGACCCTTATAAGGGACCTTAGGGGTTACGTAGGGGTTATTTGGGGGCTAATGGGGGACTAAGAGATTACCCTAAACCCTAAACCCTAAACCCTAAACCCTAAACCCTA